GGAATTACTGGAAGGGACTGGGAACGCACTTGAATGACTGGGAAGGAACAGAGCGTGACTGGGAGGTCCTGTCCTGAAAAGGGAACTCTGTGCTGCGGGTCTGCCCGGCAACTGATGAGTCATTGCAGAGACGCGCTCTGATTGGCTGAGTGTAGGGAGAGCGGTGGCCTCAGCGGGGTGGAGACGCGGGGGGGGCACAGGGAGAGACTGGGATGTACTGGGAGCACTGGGAAAAACTGGTCGCAATGAAATGAGGGGAAATGGGAGAGGCTGGGCCGGAGTGGGATGGACTGCGGGGCACTGGGATGGGGCCCAAGGCCACGGGCATGGGCACAGAAAGGGCTGGGGGGTCTGGGGTGATTCCCAGGGAGGGTTTCAGGGGTTCCAGGGTCGTTCCTGGGACAGAGGAATTCCCGAGGGGACCCGCTCTGCCCTGCTCTCACCTCTGCGGTTCACAAGGAACGGGGTGGCGATCTGGTAGCATTTCCGGCAGAACCAGTCCACCGCAGCCCGTCTGTCCTCCAGCAAGTCCTGTTGGCTGTTCCAGTACCTGGCCGTCTTCTCCCCATACGGGGTGTCCCCCACATAGACCCCCACATCGCTGTCGAAGTGCACGAACTGCTGCCGGTTGTAGATGTGCCTCTCCACCAACCTCACCTGCTCGGTGCCGTTGATGAAGTGACACTCGGCCTTTGCCATCTCCTGGAACACCCCTGTGTGTGCAGGACACGGATCAGGGGAAACCCTGTCGCCCCCCATCATCCCCTACCCCTACCCACAGCAGTTTGGGAGTTCAGGGTGTTACCCCGGACCCCCCTTTCCCACCTCCCTCTGCCCCACGGCCACCGCAGCACCGGCTCTTGGCTGGGGGGGGGAAACCCCCCATCAGCCCGGGGATGGACAGGGGGGTTGGGGCCCCACCAGTGCGGATCCGACCCCTCCAGAGCCCCAGGGAACCGCTGCAGGGCGCCAGTGATGAGGGACACCGAGGGACCCCCATGGCACCCCCTTCCTGCTCTCCCACCCTACTTTCCCCCCCACACACACCCCTTTCCCCACTGTCCCCTCAATCCCCAGACCCCCCGACTTTTAGTTTGGGGCCCCCACCCCCCTCCCAATAATTCCGGGGGTTCCAACCTCCCTCGCACTCACTTTTGGGGCTCCCAACCCCTCTTTTCTCTCCTCTTTCCCCCCTTCCCGCCCCCCCCGCCCCCGCTCACTCGAGAGTTCCTCGCCCGCAGCCGGGGGGGCTCCCAGCACCACCAGTACCACCAGTACGGCCCCAGCTCCCCACACACGCTCCATCCCCAGCGCCGGGCAGGTGCTGACACCCCAAAACCAGCCGGGCAGGGCCTTTTTGGGGAGTTTTGGACGCGCTCTGATTGGCTGAGGGCAAAATCGGGGCCCGTTTTGCGTCGCGTCCTCCCGGCAACTGATGAGTCATCGGCAAGGCGCGCTTTGATTGGTCACAGCTGTGTGAGCGCTTTCTGATTGGCTGATGCCGTTCGGGGCGCTGCAGCCCCGGGGGTGGGGGGTTCTGGGGGGTCCGTGGGGTGGACCCGGTTGGGAACAACCCCCGATCTCCCCTCGGGGCCCGAGGGCGGAGCGGACCCGGTTGGGAACACCCCGCTCGTCTCCGCCGCTGCAGCCGCTTCCCCTGCTCCGGCTGCCGCCGCTCGGCCCCGGCCGGGCCCGCGGGCATCGCCGCTCCCGGCGCGGGTGGAGGGGTCGGGCCGGGCCGCGCCCGCTGTTCCGGTCCGGTCAGGGGCTGCCACGGGGTTCTTTTAGATGACGACTTTTTCGAGCTTTTTCGGGAACACCGAACATCGTCCGGCCTGCCCGGTACCGCCCCGCCGGTCCCTCGGTGCGGCTCTTCTCGATACGGGGCAGCGGGATCTCCTTTATATTATCTTTCTTTTATTTTCTACATTTAATTCTATTCCCACCTCGCCCTGCCCTCGGTGCAGCCCTTTGACGACACCCGACAGCGGGTCCCTCGGGGCAGCTCTTTCGGTGACTCGGGGCGGCTCCTTTAGTGTATTTAATTCTCTCCTCTCGATTTGATTCCATTCACGCCTCCCTCGCCACACCCCCGGTGACCATTCCACGGCCG